TGTGTCCTGACTGTGTGGTTTTACCAAGGAGATTCAGTGAAACATATGATTCGCTTCTGGCCTCTCAAAGACATTGTGTTGAGGCCATAAGGAGTGCTTTTGATGCTAAATTCAAGGAGTTATTTACGCAATTTGATAATTTTAAATCCGAGATAAAATCTGAATTGCAAGCAATAAACGTCATGGACAACAACAATGCGTCGTGCCCACAAATGTTAGTGGATGAGGTTAACTCTCTCAAAAGTGCTTTCGCTCGTTCGTCAGATGTTTTGGCGGGCAGTGTAAACAATGGCAAAAGCTTGTCTACTGTCGCTTCAGTTACACCTGCTCCTGCTGCTGTCTCAACCCTACACAAGCGAATAGACACGCAATCAAAGGACAACAACATTGTGAAGTGCTTGCAAGTGTTAGTAGATGAAGTTAATTCTATCAAAAGTGCTATTGCTTGCTCGGCCAACACCTCGGCAGGCATTGTGATCAATAGCAATAGTTTTCCAACTGTTGCTCCTGAGTCTTCTAGTGCGGTCTCTCCCTCGCACATGTTGTTTCGTACTAATGATGTGAGTGCTGTGTCTACAGTTGTTTCGACGCGATCCTCACTTACTGCTAACAAAGGGTTTGTCACCAACTCGAAGCCAACAATCGGCGCAGCAGTTGAAACTGAACTTGAAGCTGCTGATGCTGTTAATGCTACTGACGCGGGTGTGTCTGCCTCTCCTTCTCCTACCCCTTGGCGGACAGTGGAGAACAAAAGAAGGAGGCAAAGTCGTAAGCCGGTGCGTGTGGTTGGATCCAATGACTGCAGTGACCTAGGTGTTGCAACTCCATTTAAGTGGTTGCATTTGTCATCTTTTTTGCCAACAGTTTCTTGTGATAACATTATTGAGTATGTGGGGAATCACACTGGCATTGATAAGAGACGCATTTCCTGCTACAAGCTCGTTAAAAAAGAGTCGAATCTCGAATCACTAACACACGTGAATTTTAAGCTTGGGGTCTGCGCCCACAACTTCGATAATCTGTTGAGGCCTGAGTTGTGGCCAGCAAATGTTTCTGTTCGGCCGTTCCGTTTTTTTCAAAAATTGCCGCAACAAATGCAACTGAAGTAGCTCATGCGCGCTGGCATAGTTGTTTATTATCAGAATCAGCAGACACTACAAAGCCAGTCGACAGCACTACCAGTGTGGTTGCACATAGTAAAATCAAAATTTATTTTCAAAATGTTTCTGGAATGAGAACTAAAGCTGATGTAGTCCGCAGATTGAGCTCACATTTGGATTTTGACATATTTGTAATCGTCGAAAGCTGGTTAACACCTAATTTCTTTGACTCTGAATTCTTCGATCCCGATCTATATAACGTTTATCGCAAGGACCGTGACGAAATCAGGTCGGGCCTGTCCAGAGGCGGTGGAGTGCTTATAGCAGTTCAGCGTAGATTGTGCTCGTCGATGGTTCATCTTCAAAATAATGATTCTATCCTCGAGCAGTTGTGCGTGAATGTTCGGAGTTCCTCTGAACTTCTCTTTGTATGTGTCTCTTATATTCCACCGAGCAGTTGCTTCGACATATATAGAGCGCACGTTGATAATGTTTTGAATCTCAGTTCAAAGATTGGCGAACACCACCTCTGTGTACTAGGTGACTTTAATTTGAGTAATGTATCTTGGAATAGCATTAATAACTCCTCGTCTTTTACCGCGGTTAATGCGACTACAGACAGTGAGCTATACGTAACTGATAGTTTCCTAAGTATTGGTCTTCAACAAATTAATGGAATTATAAATAATTATAAGCGTATTTTAGATCTAATTTTCATTAGCAATAATGTAAGTTATTGGGTGTCTGAATGCCCTTCCCCAATAACTCGCGTAAATAATCATCATATTCCTATGGAGGTTCATATTAAATTTTATGTTTTCGCTACTGTTCCTCCTGAGAGATGCCGACCAACTTTTAACTTTAGTTCGTGCAATTTTGATCTCTTAAATAGCCGTTTTCATGATTATGATTGGAAACACATACTCAGCAATTTGGATGCTAACGCTGCATACAATGTTTTTAAAAGTAGTATATATGAGGCGTGTGTAGAAATAGTGCCTTTAATTACGAGGAAGTTGTATAAGTTACCATGGTACAATAAGGATCTAAAGCGACTCAAAAATCGTAAAAATAGGCTTTTTAAAAGATTTAGGGCAACTAGGTCCCAATCTGTGTTCGCCAGTTATCAGTACTGCCTTAGGAGCTTTAATGCCTTGGACAAGATTCTCTATAATAAGTTCATTAGTAAAAGTGAAGCAGACATTAAAAACAACCCTAAGGCATTTTGGAGGTTTGTAAAATCTAAGAACGCTAAGTCGAGTGTGCCGTCCTCAGTCTTTTTGAATGACAAGGAGGCCAACACACCTGCTGAGGTAGCCAATCTATTCGCAGAATTTTTCTCCTCTAATTATGTCTCGGATTCTAATGTTGCTTCTGAACGGTACCCTCTTTCAGATTCTGCCCTTAACTTAGGCGCACTGCATATTTCCGAAAGTGATGTAGAAGTAGCCATCTGCTCCATAAAGCACTCTTTTAAATTGGATTCTGATGGCCTCTCAGGTGCTATGCTCAAACGGTGCCCATCGCTTGTTCAGCCATTAACAATATTGTTCAATAAATCTCTTTCGTCTGGCCACTTTATTGACGACTGGAAAAAAGCTTTCATTACACCAATCTACAAAAGTGGGAACAAAAACGACGTTTCGAATTATAAGCCTATTTCCAAACTGGGCACTGTCCCAAAAGTTTTGGAATCAGTTGTCAAACTGAAGCTCAACTTCGCAGTGAAAAGTTTAATTTGCCCTTACCAGCACGGGTTTGTTAGTGGGAGGTCAACTGTCTCCAACCTTGCTACATTCATGGAGGACTGTGTCGCTGCGATGCAGTCAGGTCTACAAGTGGACGCTGTGTACACAGACTTTTCGAAGGCGTTCGATAGAGTTTCGCATAAAGTCTTAATTAACAAGTTATCGCGATTGGGTTTTCACTCAACTTTTCTGGAATGGATTAATTCCTATCTGTCCGATAGGTGTTGTACAGTTGCTTTTGATAACATACTCTCCACTCCTTTTGTAGCTACGTCGGGTGTTCCCCAAGGCAGTATCTTGGGCCCTCTTTTATTTGTCTTATTCATAAATGATATTGGATCATGCTTCCAGTCTTCTAAGTATTTATTATATGCTGACGATCTAAAGGTTTACTCAGTAATAAGAACCTCACAAGACTCTCTTTTGCTGCAAGCTGAGCTTAATAACCTGCATTCTTGGTGCTCTCTTAATTCCTTATCTTTAAATGTTAGTAAATGTTCCTACACCACTTTCACCAGAAAGCTTCTTACCGTTCAAACTAATTACAATATTGGGGGCCATGAACTTAGTTATGTCGCAGAGGTTAAAGACTTAGGGGTTTACTTCGACTCAAAATTAACCTTCGCAACCCATATTAACTACGTAGTTTCCAAAGCTTATGCAATGCTAGCATTCGTACGTCGTAATGGTCAGTTGTTTAAGGATCCCTATACTCTGAAGCTTCTTTATGTCACGTTAGTGAGATCTAGGCTTGAGTATGCGTCTTTCCTTTGGCGTCCCTATCAGGCTGTCTATATAAACCGGATTGAGAAGATTCAAAAAGTTTTTATTAAATTTGCCTTGCGTTCTCTAAAATTTTCTGAGCCTATACCTCCGTATACTTCCCGTTGTCAACTTATTAACTTAAGTTCGTTAAATACTAGGCGTTCTTTCCTAGCAGCCTCTTTTGTGGCCAAAATATTGGAGGGCACAGTCGATTGTCCTAATCTTTTGGATAAGTTAGCATTAAACGTCCCGTCTCATAACTTGCGTCGTGTTTCTTTATTCTACCTGGGATTTCCTAAAACTAACTATGTAAAATTCTCGCCTTTGTTCAGAACCCTTTCTGAGCTAAATGAGCTCTCTGAATATGACCCGTCTCTCTCATTTGGAACAGTTCGTTTTGTCCTACTTAATTATTTTAGGTAGTATATAAGCTCTCTTGTTTTATAGTGAGTAAGGATTTATTCCATTTGATTAAATAAATAAATAAATAAATAAATAAATAAATAAATTGGTGAAAAGGATCTTAATTGCCAATAAGGTGCCTGTTTGAACATAGTCTAAATGCATGATAAAAACATTAGAAGGTAAAACTATTTTCTCAATTCGTCGGCCATGATTTTTTCTGACGCTTGCAAACATTTTAAAATCATATAAAATTGAAAATAAAAAACTGAAATGGTCCAAATTGTTGTTGTTTGAGATTAAAAATGAGAATGTTTGTGTGACCTTGAGTTCGAATTTTAAGATTATATTACTGGCAAACGTCACAATGCCTCTCAATGATTTTACCTTGTAATGTTTTTATCATGGTCTAAATATATCGAATCGTTATCGGGTACCGGAAAGGAAGTATTGGGTACCGATAATTTCTTCAAGTATTGGGTACCGAGTTTTGGGTACCGGCAAATCAGCACATCACTAATCGTTTGGTTTTAATTATAATTTTAATAATGGAGAGTGAAGGAAATATTTGCCAAGGAAACAATGAGCCAATGGCTAAAAAGATTAAAACAGAATGGGTTAAAAGTTACTCCGACAAGGCTTTGCTTATGATGGCTAGAATGGGTTACGAAAAAGACAAAGGTCTCGGAAAACAAAATCAAGGCCGTCTAGAGCCAATCATAGCTGTACAACAGGACGGAAGAAAAGGACTGGGTTTAAAAGCAGATGAAAACAAAATTTCTTTAGAGTCCTGGGACACCACCTGCGAGGTAATAAACTTGCCTGAGAAATGGTCGTGGATTACAAACAATGATCCTGTAGATTGGGCATTTGACGAAATCGATAACCCCATTGTCTTAGGCCCCCGGAAGCAAACTATTGAAGATGAATGTTTATATTGTGATCCAGGTATTTTGAAAAATATATTAGAAGCTAAAACGGAATTTGATAAATTAAATGACAACGATTTGCGGCGGGCTCGATCACGTTCAAATCCTTTTGAGACTATACGCAGTTCGATATTTTTAAATAGAGCAGCTGTTAAAATGGCAAATATTGACTCAATGTGCGATTACATGTTTACAAATCCTAGGGATAAAGATGGCTCTTCCATACTAAACAAAAATGAGCTTCTGTATTTCGCTGATATTTGCGCAGGTAAGATTTAGGGGAATTTCGGCTATTTTTACCTTCCTCTTATTAGCTCGGGATGTAACTATGTAATATTGATGCGCCTAAAAGATGAAGCGATTTCTATTCTCAAGTTTCACATGAACCAAAAAGACAAGATCACGCGGGCAGGAGAGTAGCCCGTTAGAATCGCATTAAGGAAAAAAGTTGAACGATTTTGACATTAGCCGTTTATTTACATTTCTTCGTTGTTTACAATTTGGTGGTGGCTTTTTACTGCAATTTTCTTCATTTTCGCTTGTGACAACGTGTGTACACATAAGATAAAGAATAATTTAACACAACGGCATGATTTTTAGAAGAATTTGCATAATAAAAATGATTTTTCATGCGTTCAACAATTTCGCGGTTTTCTCCGTTCTTTTCGTTGTTTACTTCTTACAGCAAAGATGGCGTCGAGATTTCGGCAGCTAGAAAATAACTTTTTTCGTTCTTTCCGTCCCGCGTGATCTTGTGTCTTTCGTTCATGCAAGTTTCACACCTGATGACATTACGAATGGCAATTATAATAGGGAGGTTTTAGTTTTTTAAACTATAATTTTATTATGGGAACATTTTAGTTTGGCATCCTCAGATTAAAAAAAAGGTGGCTGTTGGCGGGGGCAGTGGTGGGTAGGGGGAGTTCTCCTGATTGCAAATATGTATATACTTTTAGCCGCCGGAGGCTTATAGTTTTTAAGTTATTTGTTGTTAGAGTTTGTAAATTGAACTAACCTCTCGGGGCTATTTCACACAATAAACACGATACTTACGTACACACTTGGGGAAAATAGTTGCATTAAAACCCCACACAATGAAATAAAAACATATTTTTTACATTTATGTTGTATTTTTTATAAATTTAGTATGTTTTTAAAATTATCACGCACTTATACTATATGTATACGCACATTATGAATACAGAACTGTTGATTCAATCATGGTTTCACACTAGCTTTGTTTCTTAACATAATTATCACAAATTATCGCTAATTTATGCTGCAAAGCGTTTCTTAACCCAAAAAACTAGCAGACTCTAGCAGCACTCTATCGTTCTTACGCTCTTCTTTTTTTGGCTCTCCTGCTAATTTCTGCCGGTAAAATTTTTACTAGCAGAAACTAGCAGCTGTCAAAATAGATAAACGAAAATTCGCGCCAAATATTTTCACTAGTCAAATACACCGATCAGATGATTACTTGCTAGTTTCTGCTAGTCTTGCGTTTCTTTAATTCGTTATTTTGCTCTCTGTGAGCGTAATCCTTTCAATTTTCCCATTCTTCTTGATAATTATCTGCTAGAAAAGAAAAGAAACAAAGCCACTGACATTAGAAGAGTGCTTCCACATCTAGAAAATAACAATTAAAGAGTTTTTATCATAAACCAATAATAACAGATCTGACCGGTTGAGAAGCCATTTGTAATAGGAGCGTTCCTTATCTCCCAGAAATAGTCAGAAAAGTCCGAAGTAGGCAGTTTTAGTCCAAAAAGCGTTCCTTAACTCGTAAATGACAGCAAAAATGAGAGAGCAACACTCAGTGCGAGTGACTCTCATCAGTCCGAAGTAGTCAGATTTAGTTAGAAGAATTTTTGCTGGCAAAATCTTGAAAAGTGTCAAACTCAACTGAATTTAAATTAACGGAAATTAAAGAATATGCAAAAAGTGAGAATAATATAAAAAGTAAAAAAGTGAATTGAAATTGGAAGGAGGCAGAAAATAATTGATATAGTAAGTGTTTATTGTGCTTGTGCTTGTGCGAATGTGTTTTGTACATACATTTCCATTCTTATGTGACGTTAGTTTTGTTGTTGCCATTCTTTGGACTAAAAATTTGGTTTTTTGAGTTCCTTTACTTTTCCTGTTGATTCTCTTTTAGTGAGCGCGTTTTGCTTACGCTTTGGCATTTTGACACTTTTCAGATTTTAGTCCAAAAAGATAAGGAATGAACCTAATAGCAATTGAGAAAAAAATCTGTGACGTTCGTAATTTTGAAGTTTGCTATTTCTGTTTTGCTTCTTTCTTTATGTGTTTATTTGTCGGTGGTTTATCTCAGTGATTTTTAAGCGATTTTCAATAAAGTTTTTGTGCAAATGTAATTAGATGCCGTTTTGTGTTCTAATACTAATACTAATATTAATACTAATACTAGTTCGCATCCCTGCAAGAAAGATACTGGTCAAATGATTAGTAAAATGACCTGGAGCCATGACTGAAACTTTCCGTATTTTTCCCATCACATTCTTAAGGGCATCGGTAGATTTTGTGACCGTTTCTTTCTTTATGTTCCCCTACGTGTGACTTTACATCTCGGCATAATGACTTCGCGTGAGCGGGGTTTCGGTTCCGCCACGTTAAAACCCCGCCCAATGAAAAGAAGCAAACAGCCTCGG